TCCCTTGCTGGGTTTCCCCACAGAGGGCTCCTCTGAATACGTAAGTCAGATCACACACCTCTGTGCTCACAATCCTCCCATAGCTCCATCCCCTGAAAGTAAGAATCCTCATTGTGGCCCAAGGACTCACAGGATCTGGCTCTTACTCACTCTGAAACCTTGTCTAATTCCTATCTTCCTCTGACTCCCTCTGCTCCAAACACATGAATCTGTTTTTTCTAAAACGCTAGGCACACTTCTACCTCAGGGCCTTTGCACTGGCTGTTCCCTGAGCTCTGGATGCTCTTCCCTCAGATGTTGTTTCCTCCCTCCCTCACATCATCTTATGAGAGAGGCTTCCCTTCCTGCCTTGCATTAAATAGCAAGTGCCCTTTCTGATCACTCTCTAATATACTGCAGCATTTACTTACTACCAGGCACCCCACTGGTTTATCAGCTCTGTGAGGGCAGGGACCTTGTCCTCTGCTATGTCCTCAGCACCTAGAACATTGCAGGGCCTGCTGTGGCTGATCCTAACTGGATGATATTGCCTTAGAAAAATGATTTTGGAGATGATGTTGGGGTGACAGAGGTTCAGGCTTGTGTCAGAATCTGATTTGCTCCTTATTAGCCCTGAGTTCATAGGCAAGCCCTTTAGCTTTCGTATCTGCGAAACAGAGTAATTCTCCCAGGGACGAGTCTGAGAAGATAAAAGACTCATGCCAAGCACTGAGCACAGTGCCTAGAAGGCTACACACCTTGCTAAAATGCCCCCTTGCCTGAAGCCCCCAGGACATTGGCAGATACACACATGGATTAGAAGCCAGGCCTCTGGCGTCCTGTGCCAGGCTTTCTCTCACCCAGCATGAGTCACCTGCATTCCGGTGCATCCAGGGAGAATTAAGCGTGGAGAAGTTGACACAGAGGAAGGAAAAACTTACAACCATGTGGCATCTGTGCAGAGGCATGCACAGGTCAGGAACAGGAGTCAGTGGCAGAGCGGCTTTGTGTCCCCCAGGAGAGGCCCAATCACAGCACACATGCTCTCAGGAAAGCGAAGCTTTATGGTGGAGAGAACCCCAGGCCTTCACAATGAACTACATCCCAAGTCTCCCCCCACCACTTTTTAAAATTTTGAGACAGGGTCTCACTGAGTTGCCTTGGTAGGATTTGAATTTGCAATCCTCTTGCCTCAGCCTCTCTCAGTGCTGGGATTATAGACTTGGGCCACTGTGCCCAGCTGGGGAGTCCTTTCCGGTCAGGGCAAAGTCTCCTCTGGCTTGGAACTCCCTGTCCTTGGGCAACATGAGCTGCTGCTCTTTGATCTCAGGTTGATCAAGTCTGCCTTACTTCTGGGAAAAAATCAATCTGAAGACCCTAGCACCCACTCTGTGCTGGGATAGGTCTCAGCTATGTTGACCCATGCTCAGATGAACACACCTTTCACAGAGGCACAACGGGCTGCAGTCAGACAGCTAGGC